GTGTGTGTTCTCATACTCCGGAGGATGCTTTGGGGTGTCAACAACACGGATTTAAACTCATCAATGGGTTGTTCATAACTTCCCCATTGATCATCCCCAAAACCGCCTCTTTATGTTCTTCATACCTCTCATTGTATTTGTTTGATGAAGCCGACCATGTCTCTGTATTTTTTCTTGATTCCATGATATAAAATGAAGTCCTGTAGTGCCTCTGAGATTTCTCCAGTCGGCCTTGCCTTTCCTAAAACGATCCTCATCTTCTTGTTGCTTAATCTCCACCATATCCACCTTTAAAGCAGATGTATATCTCTCCTTTGTTCTCTCTGACCCACGGGTGTTTCCTCTGTTTTTCTTATGTATAATCATGGTTATTTTCGTTCCCAGGGTCCTGGTTATAAAGAAGAAGGAGTGGGTAACTTCCCAAAACCGGAGGGACACCATTTGGTGGGTAAAAGGGTGTGTTTGGTCCATTCGTACCCCTGAGGTAAAACTGTCGCCCCTTGGGCCTTTCTTGGGCCAAAACCCACTCTTTAGGGTCCCCTGGCATTTTCCCACTAGGTCATTCCGTGGTGGTCCAGACAGATTGGGCCTAAGGTCCATACCTGACCCTTACTCGGCCCGTACCCAACCCTGACCTGGTCCACTGTCCCAAGACCCGAACACTCCGTCCAGCTGAGATGAACGGATCCCCAGCTGACCCAGATGAGTGAGCTAGTCCACCAGCTCCAGTGAGCTGACACACTCTACTTGAGCTCCAACTGAGATTTGTCTATCTGGTTGATCTTCTTGTTCGCATCATCTAGCTGTGATACACTTCGTACAGCTTGGTATCTTCATCTTATTCTCTGCCTATGTCCTTTGGTCCATTCCTTGACCTTGACTGAGATTTTCCATGATCAGTTCTGATCATTCACTTCATTACAGCTTGTTCACGATCAATTCCCATGATCTGAATCAAACGATTCTTGGTACTATTGAACGTTTAGGCCTTATGTCAAGTTCCAGGAACGGGAACTTGACAGTTCAGCTGGTGTGAGCTGACCAATGAGTGTGTAGCTAGACCAGACTAGGCTGAGCTTCCCCGAGCTTCCGTGAGCTAGGTCGAGCTGTCCCTACACCTTGTCCAGCTACCCTTTTACTCGTGTAGCTCCTTTTACTCCATTTCCTTCCTTATTTTGCTAAGTCTCAGCTCCCTGATGTAATTAACCACGTTTCTGAACCATGATATGCTTGTCTTTAGGTCATACGACCTGACTGGTGCGTCTCCTCACGCCATGGTCCATCCCAGTGATCCTATCCAGGATCGGGGACATGACATGGAGAGCTTCGTGGATTTCTCGGGATGATAGGAAGCATCGATTGTATGCATTGGGAGTGGAAAAATTGTCCCACCACTTGGAAAAGATAATATTCTCGTGGTTCGGGAAAACCCACTATCGTTTTAGAGGCGGTTGCTTCATATGATCCCTGGATATAGCATGCGTTTTTTGGACTTCTAGGTATCTTAAATAATATTAATGTTCTTAATCGCTCACCTGTTTTTGATGACATAATAAATGGTCAAGCTTCGCAATTGAATTTCTTAGAGAGTACCATTTGGCTTACTATCTCACCGATGGTATTTATCTGAAATGGGAAAATTTTGTCCAATTTATTCCAATTCCACAAAGGGCGAAAGCATCTTTATTTGCACAACGTCAAGAAGCTGCCTGAAAAGATGTCGAGCGTGCTTTCGGAGTTTTGCAAGCTCAATTTGCTATTGTTAAAAGTCTAGCACTTTCTTGGGATAAAACCAAGATTGGGAAGATTATGAGAGCATGTATCATACTCCATAATATGATAGTAGAAAACGAACGAGATGAATAAACTCAGTTTGATGTTTTGGATTTCTAACAAGGAGAAGGCAGTGGGAGTTCACATGTCGATCTCACATATTCTACAGATATCCCTACAAATCTCGCCAATATGATGGGTGTTCGAAATAGAATTCATGATAGACAAATGCATCAACAATTGAAAGGTGATTTGATTGAACATATATGGCATAAATTTGGACATGATCAAGACAACAACTGATCTTCAATGTCTCTTCGAAATTATTATCCTTGATTTTAGTAATCTTTGTTTTTAAGTTTTTATGTTGAAATCTATGTTTAAAATGTTAGGTTTGACTTTGTTTTATTAAATAAATAAATTTGATCCTCTTAAAAAATTATGTTTAAAAATAAACTTAATATTTTTTAATTGTTAAAAACTCTAATTAAGATATTATCATTAAACCACTATAATTATGTGTCCCTTAATAATTAAAAATTGATTATAACCCAATTAAGGGACACTTAAAAGTTTTAGGCTTTTAGCAATAAACTTGCTCTTAGAGCATCTTTAATGCGGATCATTACCCCCGTTTCTTAGTATTATTAGAATTTAAGAAAAAAAATAGTTTAATGGAAAGAACCTATCAATTAGGAATTTTAAGTGGAATTTGTTACCTTCTAAGAGACTTTATGAGTTTTCAATTGCACTTGAAGACACATTGCACTTGCCACACACATTGTGTATATTTAAAGACTTTAACACCCTTCACTATAATAAAAATAATTTATCTTTCATGTTCTCTTCTTTGTTACGAAACTAAATAAGCTCTCTCATCTCTTCTTCCCCTCTCCTCTCTTCTTCGTGACAAACTCATTTTTTTTCTATCCAAATTATCCTTCTCTAAATATTCAAACCCAAATACTGAAAAATCTAAATAAAGTTAAGAGAGGATCAGAAAAACTGAGAAGACCTAAACTTATAATAAAATTTATTTAATCTTGTGGTTATGGTTGAGGATTCGCCTGAGAAGTTTAAGAGGATGTTGAATTCGGTGTTGCTGATGTGGAGTTTTAAAGAGAGGATGAATTCGGAATTCATCATGGGTGAGTTCGAGATCCGCTGTGAATGAGTTCGACGAAACTGCGGCGGAGTTTCAGAGCTTGAGATTCAACATGGGTGAGCTCAGAATCAGTGGTGGGTGAGCTCATGATAACTGATTTGGAGTTTCAGAGAGTGTGTGAGGTTGGAATTTACCATGAGTTCAGGATCTACCGTGAGAGAGTTCAGAGAAGCTGTTGTGGAGTTTCAAAGTGGACGAGCTCGAGATTTGCTGTGGATGAGCTTATGATAGCTATCGTAGATCTAACTTATTTGATCTCTTTGTGGATGGTCAATATTGTGGCTGTGGTTTTTCCAGATTTTAAAATTCAGACCTTTAGAAGAGAGTGATTGATGAGAACATGTTTATTTCTCAGATCCGAACGCATGACACAATATCATATCAGAACGATGGTGGTTTATTGAAAGATCTGAATTTGTTATAATGAAACTGTTAAGACGAGTCTATGTTTACGTTTTTCTTCTCTTATCCACATAAGTTCTTGTCCACATGAGTACATGTCTACAATTCCATGTATTTTTTTGTTAACATGAGTCCATCCAAAATCATCACCCGAACACAAATAACTTGAACACAACCAAACCGACCACAACTCAAGAGACCACAACTCAGCCATCCACAAGGGAAATTTTGCATCCCCACATCGAACACAAGTGGCTAAGTCACGTCTTTGTCAAACAGACCTACTTTCCAAGATTCAATCTCATCCATTTGATATAATATTCAATCTCATCCATTCATTCTCCACAAGGGTAATTTTGACAAACAAATACCTTGACCCCACTAAAAAGTGTCTCACAAGTAGGAAGTGCTTCTTAGTGTAAAGCAAAGACAAAATGTGACCTTCTATATAATCAACTCTAAGAAAAAAGAGTGACGGTCTTTTGAGACACGTGTTACTCTACTCTTTATCAGTCGGATTTGTAATGAGACGTGGCTATCTTCTTTCTTTTACAAGCCCTGTAATTATGAGTTCTTTTTCAAACAATCTCTCAACATGGAAATGGCTATTATCATGGCAAGAGTATGCATTCTTTTAATGGAATTTTATTGATTTTTGTTCATGTCTGATTTTATAATCACTTTTTTTTTGTTCTTATTAAATATCAGGAAGCTGGCATGGATTGGATTACTTCACCTTGACACATATGAGCTAATATACCCAGCAGGTACTCATGAGTACTCATTGAGACGTTTTCTGTTTGATGTTCCTCCAAATGTGGATATGGTTATCTTTCCAAATTATGTGAGTCAAACATTTCTTGCATTGCTTATTTTAGCTAGTTTGGTGAGTGCCGTAGATTATCAAGGCCTTGATATGAATAGATGTTTTGGATTTTTTTGGTTTAGGAAAGCAGCGTAGGAAGAAATGATATCAAGGATCCTTTTACCGAGGTACAACTCCTGTTTGTTTCTCTTTTTTGTACTCTGTTTGATATGAATTGATGATTGCTCTCTGTTTTGTATTATACAATCTTCCAATGGTTTCAACTTTTGGTTCAATTGATTTAAGAGACTTGCATTGAACCCTTATTTTTTTAAATCTCTTAACTAAGTCTCTTAATTCATTTTTACTACTTAAAAACCATAAAAAATAATTAAGAGACCCTAAAAGAGGCTTTGAGATAATGATGCTCTTAGTATGTTTGGTAACGTACTTTCTTTAGTCCGGCAAGTTTGTTAGAATCAAACTCACCGATGCCTTGTCTGATCTCGTCTCTTAGCGTATCTTGACACTCAAGATGGATCGCAAGAAGCATGGACGTCCAGGTGAGTGCTAAAGCTGTTGTCTCAACGCCAGCGAAGAAGAACGTTTTGCATTCTTCCACAAGCTCAGTTTCTGCAAACTTCCCTTTATCGGCCTTAAGAAAAATTCCAAGAAGATCATGCTGGCCGTCTCTTTCGACCAAAGATCTCACCCGTTCATTTATGATCGATAAAAGGAGTCTGTCTATCTCTTTACCTAGCTCCTTGGCTTCAAGGGTTTGCTTGAAATCGAAAATGCAGCTAAATGGTACGCCTAGATAACGATTTGAGTGGAAGAGAGCAAGTTGCATGGCTCTTAGGTTTCTGAGGACTTGAGTTGTGTTTTCTCCCATGAATCCAAAGCTGTCTTAGCACTTATATCACCCGCTGTTCCTATGATCTCGTTCTCCATGTCGAATATGGGAACGCCCAAATTTATCTGTATCGCCCATCTGTTCAACATGTTGGAGGTCGATTCCACCATCATATTTTCCATGCCCTATTGTTTAAGACGATCAATATAAATCAACGAGAATAAAAAAAAACATTCTAGTATGAAGCTTTTATTTAAAGTAGATGTCATAGAAATTTAGAAGAAGGCTTTAAAGTCTAAAATGTTGAATTGATTAGCCACACTATTAAATTATCATCCTAAGACTCTAACCAATGTAACTATATGAAAAAGGGTTATAAGTTTCCAATCATATATACATATACCTTAAGATTAAGAGGGCAAAATGCAGGTGTAATCATGTGGCGATGATGTGTCCAATTAACGCCTTCGACCATAACCAAACCATTGCCAAACATTGGCTCTCTGTCTTTCTTGAATACATTTGGTTTTCCCCAAGTCTTCGCCAATACACCTTTCGACATAACACTCAAGGATTCGGGATCCGCCACGTACACGAACGGCTCTATGCCTAGCCAGTACACAAACACTTTCCCTGCATCACATAACAAGTACAACCAATTATTATGTTAACATTTAATTACATATAGTAAACCAAATATTTGGTAGGATAAAAATGTTCCCTTTTGTTAAAAATTGTCATAAACATTAACAGAGAGACTAATACTAATCTAGAAAAATTATAGTCCAAATCTCCGGAAAGAACTGAGAGTTATATTATGTACCGTATTGTTGTTGTCAAAGAGCAAAATGTGGAAGCGCAATATGTTGACATGAAGGAATTACTAAGATAAAAATAAGGTGACCATTGGTACAAGCGTGACCATGAAGAGCTTAACCATATGGTTAACTACAAATAAGATGACCATTGGTGTAAGCGTGACCATGAAGAGCTTGACCATATGGTCCACTTCAAATAAAATAATCATTGGTGCAAGCGTGACCATGACGGAAGGAGAGCGATGGTACAAGCTTGACCATATGGTCAACTACAAATACGATGACTATGGGTGCAAAGCTTGACCATGATAGAAGGAGACCATGACCATATGGTAAATTCAAATGTTCTACTTATGCCCTTCCCCACGTGCATTTGACCGTTGTGTACAACCTTGTATTATTTTAATTATTTTTTATTTTAGGCATCTTGCCTATTTATTTTGCTGTAAGGCACATTGATTTAATTAAGGAAAATATAATCCTTCTTATCTCTCTCTCTCTCTCTCAGAATTATCTCTCTCTCTCTCTCTCTCTCTCTCTCTCTCTCTCTCTCTCTCTCTCTCTTGTTCATCACTTTGTTCTTCAATTTCTTACATGGTATCAGAGCTCTAAGCTCCTGATTACCTTAACTCACTTCCGCAAATCTCACTCTGTTACTTACACTCTCATACTTCCATGTTTTAACTTATTTCTTCACAGAATTTCAAATTTGTTTTCTTGAGAGTTCTTGAGTTCTTGAGAGTTCTTGAGTTATTTCTCAAATATTGTTGGTGTGCCTAATCTGTTCTGTCTTTTTCATTAATTCTGGAGAGTTTATCTTGTTCCAGAGTTAAGCTTTCTCAAATCCAATCTTGAATTTATCAAAAAAAAAAAAAAATTCTTGGCGCCTAAGTGAGAGAGATGGAGCAGTACAGAGCAATCAATATTCCAGTCAAACTCAAGGGACCAGGAAACTACATTACCTGGTCTAGAATTGCTAAGACAGTCCTTGGAGGAAGAGGTCTTTGGGAGCATGTCATTTCAAGTTCAGCTCCAAAGAAAATCACCCAAGGAAATGATGGCAAGGAGGTTGTAGTGGTAGATGAAGGCAAATGGGCTCGGGAAGATCTAATGGTGCTGTCTATCTTGCAAAGCTCTCTTGATGATCCTATTATGGATTCATACTCACACTGTACCACACCAAAACAGTTGTGGGATACCTTACACAAGGTGTATGGCAACACTTCAAACCTCACCAGGATATTTGAAGTAAAGAGAGCCATAAATAACTTACAACAGGAGGATGGAGACTTCACCAAGCATCTTGGGAAGTATAGTCAGCTGTGGTCTGAGCTAGAGATGTTAAGACCAAGCACAAATGACCCTGATAATCTTGAAACTATGCGTGAGCAGGATAAGGTATTTGGACTGCTTCTCACACTTAGTTCAGGCTTCAATGATGTGGTAAAGCATATATTGCGAGACAAGGAGCTCCCATGCTATGATGAGGTGTGTGCTCAACTTCAGAAGGAGAGAGGCTCAGATGGTCTCTTTGGTGGTGGAAAAGGAGAACTGTCCATGGCACACAAGTCTGAGAAAATAGAGAAAGCATCAGCCAACAAGGTTTACTTCAAACCAAGGGAAGGACCAGACAAGTCAGTAACTTGTGAGCATTGTAAGAAGAAAGGACACTCCAAGACCAACTGTTGGATCCTCCACCATCATCTCAGACCAGACTCAGCAAACAAGTATGGCCAAGCCATAGTCCATGAAGCAAGAGCTCAGGAACACTCAACACCAAACACCATACGCATGGGAGATGATGGTAGAGCTTTGATCTCTACAACTCACATTGGTGGTTCAACATCTCACGCCATGTCTCAGTCATCTAATGAGGATGGATACATCCGCAAGTCAGACATTGAGACCTTGATCAAGGCTCTCAATGCAAACTCTGGTAACCTAAGTGTTAATGCTTTAAATTCTATTCACACTACACCTTACACTGCTAGACCATTAATCATTGATTCAGGAGCTTCTAACCATATGATTAGGGTGCTAGACTAATTAATGATATTAAACCAGCTCTAGGAAGTGTTAAGATTGCAAATGGTGATAGAATCCCAATAGAAGGAGTAGGAAATCTGAACCTGTTTAATAAAGAATCTCAAGCCTTTTATATGCCTACCTTTGCTTCTAATCTTATATATGTAAAAAGGGCAACTAATGATCTAAATTGCAAGGTTATTTTTAGTCCTAATGATGTGTGCTTTCAGGATATTAAGACCAGTAAGATGCTGGGCAAAGGTGTGAGCAAAGGAGAGCTTTATTTCCTTGAAGATAATTCTACTTATGCTTTTAATTCTACTTCTGTTTTAGCTAATGATGTGTTATGACATGCTAGATTAGGCCACCCTCATTTCAATGCTTTAAAATTAATGTTACCTAGTTTATCTTTGCAAAATGAAACTTGTGAGGCATGCATTCTTGGTAAACACCATAAATCTGTATTTCCCTCATCTATGACTATTTATGAGAACTGCTTTGATCTAGTACACTCTGATGTTTGGACAGCCCCATGTGTTTCTAGAGAAANCTTTAAAATTAATGTTACCTAGTTTATCTTTGCAAAATGAAACTTGTGAGGCATGCATTCTTGGTAAACACCATAAATCTGTATTTCCCTCATCTATGACTATTTATGAGAACTGCTTTGATCTAGTACACTCTGATGTTTGGACAGCCCCATGTGTTTCTAGAGAAAATCATAAATATTTTGTAACCTTCATAGATGACAAATCGAAATACACATGGCTCACACTGATTCAAAGTAAAGATAGAGTTTTAGAAGCTTTTATAAACTTCCAAAACTATGTGGCTAACAAATTTAATTCTAAGATCAAAATTGTTAGGTCAGATAATGGAGGGGAGTAAACTAGCCATGCCTTCAAACAACAGTTAGCAAAACATGGGATCACTCATCAAACAAGCTGCCCTTATACACCACAACAAAATGGAGTGGCTGAGAGGAAGAATATGCATCTTATGGAGGTTGCAAGAAGCATGATGTTCCACACCAATGTTCCAAAGAGATTTTGGGGAGATGCTGTGGTCTCTGCATGCTATCTTATCAATAGAATCCCAACCAAAGTCCTCAAAGACGCCTCTCCATTTCAGGTATTAAATAAGACTAAGCCTCCTATAGATCATTTGCGTGTGTTTGGGTGTGTGTGTTTTGTGTTGGTTCCAAGAGAACAAAGGAACAAGCTTGAACCTAAGAGTATCAAAGCCATGTTCATTGGATACTCACACACGCAGAAGGGATATAAGTGTTACCTACCAGATTCAAGAAGGGTGATGGTATCCAGGGATGTGAAGTTTGTAGAATCCAAGGGATACTATGATGAGAAGAACTGGAAAGACCTTAAAGATCTCTCACATGGACCATCAGATAGAGAAAACAACCTGAGAACCATTATGGAGAGCCTTGGCATCACTCAGCCTAGGGGCCATGAAGAATCTTGTACCTCTCCATTGCCACCAGCTGCTGTAGAAGAACAAAGCCTGGAGCCAGTCCATCATGATCCTGAGGGGGGCAGTGAGCATGAATCATTACCAGAAAATGATTCAGCATCAACACATGATCAAGATGGAGCTGAAAATAATTCAGGTTCTGCACCAACACATGATGATGTTAGTGGAGATCAAGGGGAGGAAGGACCAGTGGTAGAAGAGCAGACTCAGCAGCTAAGAAGGAGTACTAGAGTGAGGAACACCAGAGTATTCTTTAACAACAATGCAGTGGCTCATCCTATCCAAGCAACCTGCACTCTTGCAAGCTATCCACAAGAGCATATGGCCTTCATCACCAACTGTGACAAGTCGCCTGTTGTATAATATTAAGTATGGAGCTAATGGGAAACCAGAAAGGAAGAAGACAAGGCTTGTTGCAAGAGGATATACTCAAGTCTATGGTGAGGACTATCTAGACACATTTGCACTAGTAGCCAAGCTCCATACCATTAGGATTCTGCTCTCTCTAGCTGTGAATCTTGAATGGGATCTATGGCAAATGGATGTAAAGAATGCATTCTTGCAAGGAGAACTCGAAGATGAAGTGTATATGAGACCACCTCCTGGTAGAGAAGATATGGTTAAACCAGGAATGTTCTTAGATTGAAGAAAGCAATCTATGGCTTGAAACAATCACCAAGAGCATGGTATCACAAGCTGAGTACAACACTCAATGGGAAAGGATTTGTGAAGTGTCAAGCTGATCACACTCTTTTCACACTGACCAGCAAGCAAGGGATAGTGGTAATTCTTGTCTATGTGGATGACATTATTATCACTGGTAGTAATAAGGAAGGAATCATCTCAACCAAGTCATTCCTCAAGGCTGCATTTGATATAAAAGATCTAGGAGAGCTGAGATACTTTCTTGGCATTGAGATGTGTAGATCAAATGAGGGATTGTTCCTATCTCAAAGAAAATATACTCTGGATATTTTAAAGGAGGTAGGAGACGTTGGAGGAAAGAAAGCCAAGACACCATTGGAAGAGAACTACAAGGTATTGCGTGAGGGGGAGTATGAGAACACTCCATTTGAAGACGTCAAGAGGTATAGGAGGATGGTTGGGAAGCTGATTTACTTAACCATTACAAGAACAGATGTGTGTTTTGCTGTGAATCAAGTTAGCCAGCATATGCAAACACCCAAGATTCATCACTGGAACATGGTGGAGAGGATCCTAAGATACTTAC